AGAGCTGGAGAAATTGGCATTGATCATTTCTTAGTAGAAATTAGACTAAAGGGGAATCACAAAAACGAGAAAGAAAGAAAAAGCAAAGAGGAACACCGAATGCAAACAATATAACATAAGGGCATATAAACAAATGAACGAAAACAGTAATAGAAAGTTCGAGGAAGCACTAGAAATAGAAATAGCTAAGTTGGGAGACAAGCAAACAACAGACTTAGAAGAGTTATGGCAAGCTTTTAAAAAGTTAATTATTGACGCAGCAGAAAAAGTATGTGGCAAAACAAATAGTCGCAGCTATAAATGTGCACCATGCTGGAATAAAGAAATCAAATTTAAAGTGAAACTTGGAAGACTGCGGTAATAAAATGCAGGAAAACAGCAAAGCTACTATTTATAACTCTAAAGAGTATAAGGAGAGGGAAAAAAGAAACTATCAGATGGATAGAAGACAAAGACGGCAACCCACTCAACAGAAATACGGCTATAGTAGACATATAGCAGAAATATTATAAGGATACACTTAATGGAAAGGAAGGAAATAAACGAGGCTAGGAACGAGAAAATTGAAACAGAAACAGAAATAACCCTAACGGAAGTGGAAGAGGCTTTAAAGCAACTGGAGAACGAGAAAGCAGAGAGGATTGATAATATCAAAGCAGAGATGATGAAATGCATGAGAGAGAAAAGTATAAATATGCTGCATAAAATTATTAACAAGGCATGAAAAAAGGGAAAGTTACCAAAAGACTGGACAACGACTGTGATACTCCCATTGCATAAAGAGGGTGACCCCAAAGAGTGTAGTAACTATAGAGCAATATCAATACTAACTAGCTAGCAGGATGTATGATTTGTACTAGAGAAAAAACTAAGAAAAATAATAGAACCCCAGCTAAATGATGGTGAACTTAGCTTCAGAGCAGCCAGAGGAACAACAGACCTAATATTTAGTATGCGACAAATTACGGAGAAAGTCCTACAACATGAACGCAATATATACTATGTGGGTTTTGTAGACCTGAAGAAAATAGAAAAAAGAATGGTAAAGAAAACTACTAGAAATATAGTGAGAACTGACAACGCCTAATATACGGGTTTGTAACAACTAAAGGAGTGGGCCAAGGAGGGGCATTGAGTCCATTACTATTTATAACTTTAATGAATGAGATAGCTAAGAAATGTAACGAGGATAAGAACGGGGTATATATTGGAGTATGGAAACTGCAACAGCTATTAATATCAATAATGATGTACGCAGATGATTGGGTTATACTAGCGGGTACAGAAAAAGAAATTAGAGATATGGGACAAAGAATTTAAAGACTACAGAGTGAACATAAACGTGGAAAAAACAGAAGTGATGGTAACAGGAATAAGTGAACAAAAAATAAACATTAAGCTTGACAATAAAATGATCAACCAAAAGGAAAGTTTCAAATACCTAGAATCGACAATTTGCGCACAAGAGGGAATAGAGGCCGAAATCAATGCAAGAACTCAAAATGCAAAGGCTTTACTACGTTCTAAATGTACCATTTATTAAGAAAAAAAAAAGCAAAAATATTTACCAGTGTTTTTATACCGATCCTGACATACATTGTGAAACATGGATGATGAATGATAATGCAAGAAGCAAGTTGTAGGGATGTGAGATGAGGTACTTAAAGGGAGCAGCGGCCATAACGTGACGTTAGTGTATTAAAAATGACACAGTGTGGTAGTGGTTTAAAGTTGTGCCAGTGAGAGATAAAATAGAGCAGAGACAACTGAGCTGATTCGGTCATATGGTGCAAATGAGTGAAAGCAGACAGGTCAAGGCAATATGGAAAGCTGGAGTGGCGAGAAAACGAAGAAGAGGCAGACCAAAAAGAACCTGGAACAGCGAGATGGCAAAGACACTACGAAGGAGAAAAATAAGATTGAGGCAAATGAAAGTCCTAGCAAAGGACTGCATGCTGTGGAAGGAGTAGTGCCACCACAGCACCTCTACACCGTAAGGTAGGCGAAGAACGGGATTAAGTAAGTAAGTACCATAATAAGTAAAGATACTAGTATATCTAGTCAAAATTCACGTGTATTGAAAAAGTAAACCGACAATTTAAAAATTTTTCTTATTATGCTAGGATCTACAGTAAACTTATATGACATACTAAAACTTCTATGACTTAAGTGGCATACGCCAAACAACCCTTATAAGTCAAACGGGCTATTGTAAGCTTTATGGACCCGAATCGCAAGGATTATTACTGTTCATTGTTGCCATAACGGAGCTGTGAACTGAGTTGAGTTATACAATAGCCAGGGTGCTTTGGTTTAAGTCATAAGAGTTTTACAAGGTGTATGTCAAATGAGTTTACTGTAATTATTATTCTACTAACATTTAATCTATGGAAGCTGCGGAAGCTTAACTTGTGCATTAAACGTGAATATCTCGAGGTGCTTGGGCTTAGTAGATCGTTCCCGACATCTGTTGACATAACCTTATTAAGCCTATTTCAACGTACCTATTTTCAAAAACATATTTACCATTAGAGTATTTGATTCCACCTATTTACAACAGTTACCCACTTGTATTATTTAACTTTCACATTATATATTACAGCAAGGTACTTCCTAAAACAATTTTTTTTTCGTTTCCTTCCAAATAATGTAACCCACACGAATATACATTTTAAAGGTCTTATTTATGCCACTATTTTTCAGCCAGAAAGTAAACCTATTTTTTATAAAATTTCTTTACTCACTTTTTTGACGATTAAGGTTTTACTGAAAATGTACCGACAAGTTTTTTCGTTACTATTTTGTGCGCTCGATTACTTATCGGCTGTTGCTATTAATTTATGGAATATTGATTAACCTAACCCATCGGAACGCTGGAATGTGATCGGCAGAAGCAATGCAAACCACACAGTTTTTGTTTAATTTATAGTTGCGTTTTGTCCCTTTAGGTCCGGTCTTTCAGTCGTCGGTTAAACCAAAAACATATGTTTGACCAAAAAAAGTTTTGGTTAAATATATACATTTCACCGTAAGGTTAAGAATATTAAATTTGATTGTTAAATTTCTTTAACAATTTTTCTGGTTTAACGACCTGACCAGTATGAAATGCGTCCATAATTTTTCTATCTACAGAAACTATGGGTGAATACTAATTCTGCTGCTGCTGAAGAAAAAATGGTATTTCGATATTGGAACCAGGTATTTTCAAGAAAACAGTAACGAAAAGAAGGAAACTCATGAAATAATGGAAAAAGCAGCTGAAGCTTCTGTAACTTTCAATTTATAACAATATAATATTTTATGACAACGAAAAAAATTTTCAGTCTCTCTACTAATTTTGAAATTGTTTGAGTCACTATGGCTACAAGAACAAATATTTGTTACTTTTTATGACTTCACACGATTCACTTAAAAAAACATTTTTCAGAAGTAAAATGTACTTAAATAATCCACGGCATATATCGCTCAAAATATCAAAGAATACTATAGTTTCTTTTGAACTGGTACTACCAATAACGACACCAACTTAAGAAAAATGTTGGCTATATTACCAAAATATACTTAACTAAAATACCAGGTTAAAGTTTTAGTAAAAATTTAACCAAGTTTGTTGATTAATTTTAGACAACAACTGAAGTCCGGGCCTAAGTTGGGTATAAATAAATGCAAACAGTCCAATTTTCAAAAAAAAAACAATCAGATAACTTTTTAAGGATATTAATAGACAGTTAGAAGATTCGAATCTAATGTTTCAATTTAAAAGAGAATAGTAAACTTCAAGCTTGTCAGATAATAAGGCTCTCAAAAGATTATCTTTAATAAACAGAGCTTTTACGTCAAATGTTTAATCATATACAACAGAAAGGTGCGTAAATATAACAAACAAAATTACAAAATGTTGTTTAGGATCTACTCCTATTTGCTGATTATTGTTTTCGATGGCCTACAAAATAAAGCAGCAAGCATACGAAATGGATAACATAAGTTTAAACGTGTAAACCAAGCTAGAACTTACTGCATAGAACACTTGGGAAGATAAAACTTTCGAAAACAAGAACAGAATTGGGTATGTCATGAAATAAACTGGATCTTAGCCTTTTTTACCATGTACGAAAAGAAATGTTTTTTCATTAATTGAAATTATACAAAAACAGTCTATTTAAGCGCATAGAGACAATTTTTTTGACAATAGTAGGATTTTTGATTTTTTTCATTATGGAATATAAATTTTCAAAACTCAAAAATGTGAACATTGAGTTGTGTAACTTGGTAAAGGATTATGTTTCTCTAGTTAAAAAAACAAATGCCGTTTGGTTTTTCTTTACAATCGGAAACGCCACAGTACTTTTGATGATATTACAATATTGTAATTTAATGATCTCTTTGTAAATTCTCCAGATGTATGTATGTATACTCATATGTTACAGCAATAATCTAAATTGACGTTTTCTACAAAATTAGGAAATACCTCTTTTCAACACACATGATTCAGGCGATGTCCCTGCGTTTACCCTATTTAACCCCTTTTGAATGCGTAGCATATTCTTAAGTTATTCACCCTTGAAGAAGAAGTACAAGTGTTGGAGGGGTTAGTTGCTCATTGCCTTTTCTATTGCCAGTTTGACCTTTTCGAAATGCCAGTCTAGAATTACTGTCTCAAGACGACTCTAATATTTAGGCTCGATTTATATTGCGATAATAGCGGCTTTTGCATTGTTTGCTGTTTTCACAAAAAATTTAAAGGTCACAGGGCTTGTTGAATTTTAAAGATCGAGCGATGTATTTATGAAATAATGGATTAATTGTTTATTTAAGATGTTCGTACGGTCTTTAATTAAATCTGTATTCATTCAAAAGTTTGCTATTGAATGTGTGCCCACAGAGTTTGAATACAACCACTCAAAAACATTTCATTTGGAAACAATACCGTCTGTAGAATAACAGAGATCGTAAACAATGTTGTCTGGGAGTATTCGTAACAATAAAGTAGTGTTGCTTACCCCGCATTTTTTGTTCGTCGAGGAGTTGTCTTTCTAGGCTGTCTTTTACTTCCCGCTCTCTCAATACGTCCATCTTCAGTTCGGCTGGAACAAAGAGAAAAGTTTAATTGCTGGATAACTATTGTAAATGATACGGGCTAAAGTTTCATTGTATTCCATTCAATTTTTACTTTTATTGTCGAATTGGAGAGACTACTGCGTCAACGGTTATAGCTCAGCGTTACCAACAACCTTTTTATCTGAATAAAACAAAATCGCACAATAATATTTATAAAATTAAATTTAAACTAGTTGTGTTTTATGGTGGTTAATAACTGTTTGGACTGAAACCTAAAATTTATCCTTTGATCTAGGATTACCCTGAAAATTCCATCTGTAACCTTGTGAATTTTGATAACAGAAAACTATATGGCGTTCAGTGTCACAGATATGTAGAATTTAAACTGAATATCAAGTTGTGCTTTGTCGGTATTAACTAATTGCAAGACGAGTCGAATACAAAGTAGTTATTGATCAGGTAAAAAAATCCAGAGGAAATAAACCATGGTATTACATGAAAATGCTGTAATTGCCGTGGTAAACGTTTTTACTTGGTCAATTTAATAATTCGAGCATCTGCCATGGCACAACAATTACCAGAATTAAAACATCTGCGTAATGAGCGTTCACGAATCAATTAATTCACGGGCCTGAAATAATTGATTGAAGCGATAAGTAGATTTACGTGTATAGAAAGAAACGCCGTAATATAATTTTTCTGAAGGGTGAGCGCTGAAAAGAAAACAAATAATGAAAAAATGATAATGTAAAATTTCCCCCCGTTCGAATTAACAAGCTGAAAGGAAGAAAATGTAAGTAAATCTTTATCAACCTCAAAATACAGATGATAAATGGATTGCATTCATCTGTGTATAGCGGAAGAAAGCAGTCAGTGAATTTGTAGCTGGAACGGAGGCTGCAATGAATCAATTTCTTTCTATTAGAACACCGTCTTTACGGGGATCTTTAAAGTTCTAATTATACCGAATAAATCATTCAACACCCGACACGTCTTCCATGCAATTATCCACGAAAAATAAAAAGAAAAAGTGAAAATGTTGTTTTCGTTCAATCGCCTCGGCGAATGCGGAAAGGGGAAAGAAAGCACGCATTTGAATAAAACACAGAGCTATTGTATACCTGAGTAAATTTCATTTTAATGGAATAATCATTTGTGCAAATATTTGAATATTTTTTGATATTGAAATGCAAAAGCTCACTTCTTATTTCCGACTTTGTGTGCACAGCATTCGCTGAAATTTAATCAAAAAATTATGAAACACCGCTGGCGAAATGCGTTCTTATGATCGATGAGCCAAGTTCTTTAAAAATAACAACCCTCGTTTAAAAATTCCCTCCCCAATTGGATTAGCCAGTCGAAAAGTTCAAGTAGCTGATGTGCATTTTCTATGGAAAACATATTTTTGATCGTTGTGCTCCGAAATAACTGCCGTTTTTACACATTGTTGTTTAATATTAATAAACTGACACAAAAATTATTTCATAAAATAAAATATATAATACTTAATATTATTTCTACTACATATGTAGTAAATAACAAGAAAGTGCTACATGAGTTATTTTAACGATTATTATTTTAGTGATAAATATTTCCTGAACTATTTTAACGTAAAAAAAAAATATATGCGTCACAAAAGTTATTTGCGATTTAAATAGTGTACCTAGATATAACTGACAACTGCAAAAAAAGTTTAGGAATAAAACTTTCTAGTTTATACGAGGTTAAATTATGTATACTTTTTAAATTCACTGCACTAGATAAATATTCTGTTTATGTAGTTTGTAAAAACCATGTAAATACCATATTTGTACTATATTGTTATGAAAGAAACCCATACGCCGGCCCGGTACGACGCCTATGGGTTCTAGTATGTACGGCGATGATGACTCATTGTGGGTGACATCGGCCGGAGAAAAGCCTGGAAGTGGAAATCGCTATAGATTCTAAAAATTACAACTGTATCACCTTTGCACCTTAAAAAATGTTGTGTTATTTTATCTAATGAAACATTACCTGCATTTTTTTTTCAAAATTATTGTTAAAACATCTATACCAGCAATTCTGACAGATTTTAGTAATAGTTAATCTTTTTCGCTGTACTTCTGGCATATTTTTTTCTAGAAGAGTTGTTGCTTAACTTGCTACGGTTTTAAAAAAACTGGAAATTCTGTAAACGCCAGTTTTCTTAATTTGAAGGACGTGCCTTAACTCAGTACATTATAAATATGACGAACGTATGATGGCGTCGGCGTTGCGACGTAAAGCTATATTTATTTAAACTGGAACTTATACTTATTTTATGGATTTTGATAGATAATTAAATTTAGATTACAGTGATGTATAACATGTAGATATTTATTTTATTTTCAGTTGATAAAAAATTAAAAATTTATAAACATACAAAAGTGGAGGTGGACTGAAATAAAATTCTCACGTGGTACTTTAACGCCGTGGTAAAAATTTAATCGCAACCAAATATTTAATTGGTTTTCTATTATAAACCGGTCTAAGTGTTGTATACCCCTGTAATCGTAGTTTAATGGTCTATCAAAATCCATAAAAAAATATATGTTGCAATTTAAAAAATATATAAATATGTGTCGCCCTATATGCATTATATTTACAATGTACTAAATTAAGCTTTCTCCCTCAAGCTAAAAACAATGTCGTTTATAGAATTTTAGTATCTCTATCCTTTCTCAAGATATAAGGCCGGACAATTTTGTGTGGGACACCTGTATACAATTAGATTATTAATAAAGTTACCTACTTACATACATTTTTTCCATATAAAATTTGTTTCAACTAAGTAGGGAATACGATTTTTTTTACTTTCCGGATGTACGGATACTAGAGAAGAAATAATTCATTTTGTGTCGACATTCCATAAGTCCTAGAATATGAAAAAGTACCGATCCCGTTTCTGCATGTTATCTGTGTGTCTTTTTGCCTGTTGTCTGTGATCTGTTGTCTGTGATCTATTAGACAACTAATCTCCGAAACTATTACATTGATTGCTCTATATTAATGGGAATTTTAGGTATACTTTAAGATTACCATGCAGATTTTAGATGATAAAGCAGTAACCACCACAAAATTTTGCTAAATAAATTTGCAAATAAATATGATTCTATAACTACAATAAATTTTACAATTTATCTTAGAAACCACAAAACTGGCTCAAATTTCATACACACTTTATGATGAATATGGTAAATTGCTAATCAAAATTTATCTGTTCAACCCTTCCAAACGTTTAATGACGTCATTTGAAAATTTTGCAAAATTAGTCTGATTTGTTCAGTACGCATACATGTAGTGTCTCACTACATATACATGTAGTGTCTCACTACATACCCATTTTACTTCCCGAGCGAAAGCGTAGAAAGTATTGTAGTCGAGTGCATTGGACGAATAGCCACTTTTATGTTTTCTCGACGTGTCATTACTCCTACAGTACGAAAAAAGCAGTCTCCCGTTTTCATCTGTCTGTCTGTCTGTCTGGTGTCTGAATCCATTTTTATTAGACGCGTAATCTCCGAAACTACTATGTCATATCATGTAGATGATGATGATTAAATGCTAACCAAAATTTGGCTAATCATCCCCACCATCAATTTGATGACGTCATATCAATGAACCGTATTTTAAAATGAGTTGAATTTTATACAAAAATATACTCATAAGTATGTAATATACGAGATATGTGAGCTCGTGGCGCAGTGATTTAGCGGGATTTTGGGCAAACCGGCAACATTCCGTCATGGGTTCGATGGCGAATTTGACGCTTCCCTTTTTTTTCTTGCATTGGTATAACGCTGTGACTACTTTTTTTGTACTGTGCCTAGAATTGTCCATGCGGATGGCGTCATCACAAATTTTTTGTTGGTCAAATTAAGAACAAGTTACCCCATTTTCTCGAAAGTTTCGCATATTTTTGTATAATAACGATAAAATAAAAATTATAATTTTCAGAACATTTTGTTCGATTGTGGTTTAATTAATAGTTTTAGTCGTTTTTTGAGAAGACAAACCCATTCAAATTAAACTAATTTCTACGTGACATTCTATCGATGTATAAACAAAAATAAATACTTGAGCTTCAGACTGCTATTACCTAGTGCTGAAGGACAAAACGTGTTATTTATGCCTCTGGTTTTTACTCTACAGCGGTTATCACAAAACGAAAAACGTAAATTAAAATTTTATAATTTTTTTAAAGAGCTGGGTTTGTCGGTTTACACTTATAGCCTTCGACAAATTTTTTATTGATCAAATTAAGAGCCTACTAAAAGTTGATAACGTTACGCAAAATTTTAGTCATAAAATTGCACTTGAGGAATTCTTGTTGTTTATTAAGCTACCTTCATTTTTGTTTAGAATTATATTTGTTGTCATAAAAAAATAGATTCACAGAATCAAATTTTATAGAAAGAGAAATTCTGTTAAGAAAATCTGAAAATTGTAATTAACTATTACAGTTATATTCAGATTATGCACAACTATTTCATTAACTTATTCTTTGACTTTATATAAAACTGCCAGAAATATGCTTTCAGCTTTTTTTATTTCATTTAAATATCTCAATATGTCCTTTCTAAATTATTTTCGCTACATGCATGATCACAAGTTACGTAACATACAGTGTCATTGTCGAACATGACATTTAGCTAGATAAATCGAGCACTGTAAAAGCGTTATACAATGATTTGTGTTTAAAAGTAACTATCACTTAATTTGAAATCTAATTAGTAGGAGTGTTAGTGATCATATCAATTTAATGTCTTTCGGTATGTACTCGTATATATTGTTAAAAATACGTACTATATGCATAGTCCTTGGTTTCGTTTTGGGATCTAATAACCGCAATCTCTACTGTGCGTCTACGCAAAATGTACAATCAAAAAGTTCCATTCTCTTGACGTCAATAACATAACTTTATTTGACGCGTTGTTAGGGAACACGTCGCTAAGAAAATATAAAATCGTATTACGTCTCTCTCTTTATGAGATGTGTACAATAA